ATCTAGGATGTCCCTCCTAGGCACCCAGCACCGTTCCTCCGGACCGTACCCCTCCCACTCCACGAGATACAGGAGACCACTCATCCGGCGCCTCGAGTCCAAGATGGTCCGGACCCTGTACGCCGGGGCCCCCTCGATGTCCAAAGGGGGCGGAGGGGTCTCTCCTATCTCATCTTCTTGGAGTGGGCCAGCTACCACCGGCCTGAGAAGAGACACATGGAACGAGGGGTTAATATTCTTGTACTCAATAGGCAGTTGTAACCTGTAACACACCTCGTTCAATCTTCTCAGGACTTTAAAGGGCCCCACAAACCGCCGACCCAGCTTCCGGCAGGGCAGGCGGAGGGGCAGGTTTCGAGTCGAGAGCCAGACTCGATCTCCCGGTGCGTACACCGGTCCCTCACTGCGGTGGCGATCGGCGCTCACCTTTTGTTGACGGATGGCCCGCTGCAGATGGACATGGGCAGCGTCCCACGTCTCCTCCGAGCGCCGAATCCACTCGTCCACCGCAGGAGCCTCGATCTGGCTCTCGTGCCACGGTGCCAGGACCGGCTGATACCCTAAAACACACTGGAAAGGTGTTAAATTGGTGGAGGAGTGGCGGAGAGAGTTCTGGGCCATCTCTGCCCAGGGGATATACCTAGACCACTCCTCCGGCCGGTCCCGGCAATAGGACCTCAGAAACCTACCCACATCCTGGTTGACTCGTTCAACCTGCCCATTGCTCTCTGGGTGGTACCCCGAGGTAAGGCTCACCGAGACCCCCAAGCGTTCCATGAACGCCCCCCAGACTCTGGAGGTGAACTGGGGACCTCGGTCAGACACAATATCCTCGGGGACCCCATAGTGCCGGAACACGTGGGTAAATAGGGCCTCGGCGGTCTGTAGGGCAGTAGGGAGACCCGGCATTGGGAGGAGACGACAGGCCTTGGAGAACCGATCCACAACGACCAAAATGGTGGTATTCCCCTGGGAAGGGGGTAGGTCGGTTACGAAATCCACCGAGAGGTGGGACCATGGTCGTTGTGGAACGGGCAGGGGATGTAACTTACCCCTGGGCAAATGTCTAGGCGCCTTACACTGGGCGCACACCGAGCAGGAGGAGACATAAACCCTCACATCCTTAGCTAACGTTGGCCACCAGTATTTCACGCTAAGGCAGTGCACTGTCCGGCCAATACCTGGATGTCCAGAGGAGGGTGATGTATGAGCCCAATAAATAAGACGATCACGAACCTCGAGCGGAACGTACGTCCGCCCCACAGGACACTCGGGGGGAGTAGGGTCGGTACGCAGTGCCCGCTCGATTTCCGCATCGACCTCCCATACCACCGGAGCCACCAGACAAGACTCCGGCAGTATGGAAGTAGGCTCAATGGCCCTCTCCTCTGTGTCATACCGCCGGGACAGGGCGTCTGCCTTACCGTTCTGGGACCCTGGGATGTATGTGATCTTAAAAACAAACCGGGTCAGGAACATGTTCCACCTAGCCTGACGAGGGTTCAATCTCCTAGCTGCCCGGATGTACTCCAGGTTACGGTGATCAGTCAGAATGAGGAAAGGGTGTTGAACCCCCTCAAGCCAATGCCTCCACACCTTAAGGGCCTGGACTACAGCTAACAGCTCCCTGTCTCCAACGTCATAATTGCGCTCCGCCGAGCTGAGCTTCTTGGAGTAGAACGCACAGGGGCGGAGCTTAGGTGGCGTGCCGGACCGTTGTGACAGGACAGCCCCAATACCGGTCTCGGACGCGTCTACCTCTACTTGGAATGGTAAAGAGGGATCCGGATGCGCCAGCACCGGGGCCGAGGTGAACAGGTTCTTCAGTTTGACAAATGCCCTGTCCGCCTCAGCTGACCACTGCAAACGAACCGGACCCCCCTTTAGCAGGGACATAATGGGAGCTGCAACCTGTCCAAAGCCCCGGATAAACCTCCGGTAGTAATTAGCAAAACCCAAGAACTGCTGCACCTCTTTTACAGTGGTTGGAGTCTGCCAATTACGCACGGCCGACACACGGTCTACCTCTATCTCCACACCAGACGCGGACAACCGATAACCCAAAAAGGAGACGGACTCCTGGAAGAACAGGCATTTCTCTGCCTTGACATACAAGTCATGCTCCAACAGTCTTCTCAACACTCGGCGCACCAGGGCTACATGCTCGGCTCGTGTAGAAGAGTACACTAGGATGTCGTCGATGTACACTACCACACCCTGCCCATGCATGTCCCGAAAAATCTCGTCAACAAAGGATTGGAAGACTGAAGGAGCATTAATTAACCCGTATGGCATGACGAGATACTCGTAATGACCCGAGGTGGTGCTAAATGCCGTTTTCCATTCATCCCCCTCCCTAATGCGCACCAGATTGTACGCGCTCCTGAGATCCAACTTTGTGAAGAACTGCGCTCCGCGTAATGATTCTGTCATAGTCGCAATCAGTGGAAGAAGGTAACTGTACTTAACCGTGATCTGATTGAGACTACGGTAATCAATACACGGGCGCAAACCCCCGTCCTTCTTCTTCACAAAGAAGAAACTCGAGGAAACCGGGGAAGTGGAGGACCGTATGTATCCCTGTGCCAAGGACTCGGCTATGTAAGTCTCCATAGCCGCAGTCTCCTCTTGAGACAGGGGATACACACGGCTCCGCGGAAGTGCCGCTCCTGTTTGGAGATTTATCGCACAGTCCCCCTGTCTATGAGGTGGTAGCCGTGTTGCCCTCGTTTTGCTGAACACAAGTGCTAAGTCCTCATACTCAGGGGGAATGCGCATTGCGGGCACTTGGTTCGGACTCTCTACCGAGGTCGCCCCTAAGGAAACACCTAGACATTTCCCTACACACTGGGCAGACCACTCCATAAGAGCACTCTGTTGCCACGCAATGGTAGGATCATGGGCGCTTAACCAGGGAAGCCCCAGCACCACGGGGTACGCAGGAGAGTCAATCAGATAAAACTGAATGATCTCCTCATGACCCCCCTGCGTCGTCATCTTAAGTGGTGCTGTGACTTCTCTGATCAGCCCGACCCCAACGGCCGGCTGTCTAGGGCGTGGACAGGAAAGGGGGCTTCTACCGGCCGAAGGGGAATTCCTAACCTATAACAAAATGCACGATCAATAAAATTCCCAGCTGCGCCTGAATCTACTAGCGCCTTATGCTGGGAATGAGGTGCCACCTGTGGAAATCTCACAGGAATACTCATGTGACCAACAGAGAGCTCTGGGTAAGTGGGGCGCCTACTCACCTGAAATGACTCCCCAGTGCGTGACCTGCTGTCCCCTCTTCCAGGAGACCCTCCCCAGCACCTGGCCGCGGTGTGTCCTCCACGGCCACAGTTGGTGCAGGGGATGGCCCCCCTCGGGTTCTCTCTCCTCCTCTCCCTAGCGCCAGCACCCCCGAGCTCCATGGGAATCGGCTCGGAGGTGCTGGAGGGTGGAATGGACGACCCCCACTCGGGACGTCCGCGGGTAGCCAGCAGGGTGTCGAGACGGATGGAGATGTCCACCAACTGGTCGAAGGATAGGTTGGTGTCCCTGCAGGCCAGCTCACGACGAACGTCCTCTCGTAGGCTACACCGGTAATGGTCGATGAGGGCCCTCTCATTCCACCCCGCATCCGCCGCTAGAGTCCGGAACTCCAGGGCGAACTCCTGTGCGCTCCTCTTCCCCTGTCGGAGGTGGAACAGACGCTCCCCCGCCGCCTTTCCCTCAGGTGGGTGATCGAAGACAGCCCTGAAGCGGCGGGAGAACTCCGCGTAGGTGATGGTAGCGGCGTCTATTCCCCTCCATTCGGCGTTGGCCCACTCCAACGCCTTGCCGGATAGACAGGAGATGAGGGCGGAGACGCTCTCGTATCCCGAGGGCGCTGGGTGTAGGGTAGCCAGGTAAAGTTCCACCTGCAGGAGGAACCCCTGACACCCGGCTGCAGAACCGTCATATGCCCTCGGGAGCGAGAGCCGAATGCCCCTGGGTTCCGGTGCTGAGAGAGGAGGACTGGCCGTTGGTGATGGGATGGTGTAAGAAGACGTGGGCACCTCCCCAGTAACCAACCGGCGCAGAGTGTTGGACACCTCGTCCATGGCGGACCCAAGTTGCCGGATCATGGTGTCCTGATAGCTGATCCGTTCCTCCAGCGACTTGGGTGTCGCAGCTGCTCCTGCTGACTCCATGGTTGGTGTGTGTTGTTCTGTCAGATGAACCGATGTGGATGTGGTGGAGGAGTCAGGCGCAGGACACAGAGGCTTCGTCCAACAGACTTGACTAGTCAAAAGTGCAAAATACAATACACGGCCTCGAAACAAACAGAGGCGAGTGAATACGTAAACCATGCGTAAACACTAAACAAACAAACAGAGCGTCAACACGCAGCTCCGAAAATACAGGCAGACAACAACACACAATCTAACCAATACAAAACAGGGAACTTATAGGACACGTAATCAGAACACAAACAGACACAGGTGTACAAGACAGACCAAAGCAATCACACCACGAAACATTCAACGGTGGCAGCTAGTACTCCGGGGACGGCGAACGCCGAAGCCTGCCCGAACCAGGAGGAGGAGCAGTCTCGGCCGAAACCGTGACAGAGACCAAGGAGTCCACTTACACTGTACTTTGATTATAAAGGTTTATTTATATCACAAGATTTCAGCGTAAATTGACAGACATCTGCAGGCATCTGGAGAACAACAGACTCAAAATAATATGTTGTTCTGTCCTCCTTTGTTTTAACCATGGTATTTATATCCTATGCCCTATGTAACATAATATGGGTGTTTTCCCATAAACCAATCCCAGGAGGCCACCTAACAGACTTCCTCTAACACACCATTTGCAAACATCAACAAAGTCATAAACTGTTTAAACACTACAACAGATACCCCAAAAAACTACTTAAGTAGTACTTTATATTTACTTAAGTGCTTTACACCACTGACTGAAGGCAGGGTAGAGATGCTCTATGAAGGTGGTCTGTACTTTGTGAGGGAGGTTCAAGCAACAGATACACTGTAAAATGCCAGAGCCCCATTTATCTGGTCCACATACACTCCTCCCCTTGACGTCCTGGGCTTGGCTATATCTGTGCTTTGGTTCTTGTGCACGAAGGAGTGTTTGTCCTCAGAACAGTACAGGCTCCAGGCTGCATTCGTTGCTGTTGCCTTTGCGGTTGATGCTCTGGTAGGGGACGGCGATGTCGGTCTCCGTTCCTCTCTAGTACACCTCCCAGTAGTAGTGACTTCTTGACAGACCCTCCTCACACAGCGGCTGGGATTGAATAGATTTTAATTTAATTGAATTAGTTGCGTTAATTGGATACGAGTCTGACCATCCGCCCACCCACCCACCATACATCGTAAAGCACTATGAGTGCTTTGAAAATATTATCTGAAACTATTGAGAAACCCCCGTCCTTTCCTAGTCTGGCATGTGACGTCATCACACCTGAGCCTACAAGAGTCGTTTGGTCAAATTCAGCTCGCCACATATACTGCTGTGGATAGAACGTTTTGGATATAAACAGTGTTCCTCTCACCTGCTGCCAGTGGTCGAACCTGTCTGGATGATCTGGGTAGTTATTGGGTTCGCTCATCGTCTTGGCTACAGTGTTGCCATCGGATAGGTACAGGTTGGGGTGGGCACTGTTGACATCCAGGGTCGGCTGGACCAGGTCTGAACAGAGGGATAAAAGCTTTAGAGTAGAAAGACCAAACAGTTTAATACTGTGGCATATTCAGTGGGGGTAGCCCCAACCAGGACATGAACACAGGACCCTGAGACTGTCAATCCAATACTTAACCTTCACGCCAGGAGGTTTCAACCAGATAGACCAAACAAGGCCCTACATCAGAGGAACTACCAGTGTAATATGCAGTGTAATTATGCTGTTGTTTCCTTATAGTTGCCTATAGGAATAACGACTGTAATACATTTGAAGTTCCAGTTGCAGTTCTCTCTTATTGTGACACATGATTAATTGTCAATGTTGCGTCACTGTTTGTTTAATCATAAATGTTCTGTGCTTTTCCACCACTGGGAGGAGCAACACCTTTATGTGTTCATTTTTTATTTTATTTTGTTTTACCAGGTAAATTGATTGAGAACACGTTCTCATTTACAGCAACGATCTGGGGAATAGTTACAGGAAGAGGAGGGATGAATGAGCCAATTGGAAGCTGGGGATGATTAGGTGTCCATGATGCTATGAGGGCCATATTGGGAATTTAGCCAGGACACCGGGGTTAATATCCCTACTCTTACAATAAGTGCCATCTTTAGTGACCACCGAGTCAGGACACCCGTTTAACGTCCCATCCAAAAGACGGCACCCTACACAAGGCAATGGGATCTTTTTTCAGACCAGAGGAAAGAGCACCTCCTACTGGCCCTCCAACACCACTTCCAGCAGCATCTGGTCTCCCATCCAGGGACCAACCCTGCTTAGCTTCAGAGGCAGATGATCTAGTGATGTAGTTTATGAAAGATCAATCAGGAAGGCTCGTTTAACTTCATCCAGTAAGCATAACATCATTCACTTCCTATTCTAAGGACATAGTGGGAATGAACACAAACGCATCATCATAGCTTCTTGTTTCTTCTCCTCCTCGTGTGCAGAATGTCATTCACCTTTATAAATGATACATTTGTGTGCATACGTCTTCATACTTTTTTCCCCATACTGGTCACCCGTGGGAATCGAACCAGTGCCATGGTCTACTAACTGAGCCACACGGGCTGTAGTCTAGAGTTCCTGGTTACATTGTATTTACGAGCATTTAACATATCTCTCCATGGTTAAAATAGGAAGAAATAGATGTCATTGTTGTAAAAAATGTGTGTGCGCTACGTTTATTATCATCATATAGAAAAAATATTGAATTACTTTGGCATATTGAATTATGTTATATTACGCTAACTTCCCTATGGTGGAATTCACCACACGTGAATTACAGGAAATACTCATCGTTTTTACCTCAGATTGGTGATGTTAGTATTAAAGATTATAGTCATCACAATCTCCCAAAATCAATTGTTTAAAACATATCATTAACTTTGGTTTATTACCAGTGCTTTTGACATACGCGCCAGTCCGTAGTGGGACTAAAGAACGTAGCTGTCATGTTGAAAACACTGTGGGTAGAAGAAATTCGGCCGCTCTGCCCATAAAAGTATCTGGCTTCACATGAATTCATGGATTTGAGGGTTATGCTATCATTAAAATGAAAGCCATCCCCTGTCGCTAGTTACAAATCGATGTGAGGTGGTGATTCGTTGATATTATCGACTCAAAAAAAGTGTTTTGTTTCCTTTTCCGTATTGGCCATCTACCGAAATCATTTTCTCACAGAGATATAAATTGATAAATGGCAACGACAGGTGGTCATCTATCGACAGACATGTAGGTTTGTTTGTCTGTTAGAAGAGCGCAAAGGGTACATGTCGCCGCGGTTATTGTCCCACTTCCATTGATTTCAATACAATATTGATGTGAGTGATTCATTTGTGATTCTAATAATTACAGTAGAACAGTGACCGCTTGGTCAATATTGGTGCATGGCCAGTTTAGAAGGTACTCATTTAGCAAAATACAAGTAATCTGAACACGTGTGACGTGTGTGTAGGGAGTAACTTTTATGTATTGGTCTTCAAAATATCACAATTTATTTCAGCATATTGATTATGAATTTGGACATCTAAAACCGGTCTTTTGACACTAGGCCATACATCAAAAAGACACGACAACAGGAAGCAGCAACAGTATCATTTTCAATGTATGTTTTAGGAATATACATTCTACTTTATCAGGTAAAAACTACTGAATGAGACCAACAATGTGCTAGGATTTATTGATGTTGATGGTATTAGTGAAATTGTGAAAATATGTTTGTCCTGGCTACTATAAGCATGGCACTATAATGCACATTCCTCATGCTTGCTGTTCAACCTATGGGCTCACTCTTGCAATTATCACCTTCTTCTCTCTCAACGAATGGGATGTATTTATATGTCAACTTACCCATTTTCTCTCACTTGCTGTTTTTCAGCAACAGTTTTTGACAACCATCCACTTTCCCACCACCACCAGCTAAAATAACCTTAAGGCCCGTCATTGGAACTCCTTTCACCCAGCTTGGGGGTTTTGATGCCAGCAGCCCCACATAGGGCTACCTGTCATCACATCATCTGGGCATCATCAGACGAGGCCATTCTCCAAACTATTTAATAAAATGTCATATTGCATTCCGTCTTTGTTGTTAATTTAGTTAAGCCTGTGCTCGATTGAACTATTGAATGGTATTCACCTAACCTGTTCTGCAGATACACAGAATATCTCTGACACACTGGTTTCAATGCCAGTTTCATCCATCATGCCAATGTGAGCATGCAACAGGGAAGTTGTGTTACATTAATTTCCATCCTCCAAATGAACGTAAGTGTTTGCTGTTACAGGAGACAGGGCACAAATGTAAATGGACACTGTTATTTGAATTTTAAAAAAGGTTAAAATGACTCATATTTCTGGAAGTCTTAGTTATTTTTTTGGGGTCTTGAATTTTTACAATCCTACCTTGACTGACTCCACAGCCTGGCGAAGGTCTGTCCACTTCTTCACTCACTGATCAATCCTCTGCTGAGACTTCACTAGAGTGGACCCCAGCTGTTTCCGTAGGGGACAACGTTTACACAATGTTATAGGAACAGCAACATATGAACCAGACCTATGATGGATATCATAATGTCTTATGTAGCTGTTATAAAGGCTATATGAATGGATACATAGGGGGTGTATAAAAGGCTAGCTTCAGACAGCTGTTCCAAGGGCGGAAGCCCCCGGTGCTAGAAAAGCTGTCTGGCCTTTTATACAGGTAGACTAGAAGACAGTGTTACCAAAACTAACTTAGTTGTTTCTCAATCCTCTCGGTGCCAGTTGGCACAGTGTCACGGTGCTTGTGTTGGTCCATCATGCAGAGGACACAGACTGAAGGTCCAAGGTGCTGGCACTATGAGACATCTCTCCTGGGACAAGTAGTAGTCAGATCCACAGGTAGGACTAAAGGTGAGGTCCTCAGGTAGATAAGAGGTGCAAATTTAAAGGTGGCGTCAGAGGGTAAAAGTGAGGTTTAGAGATTAAGTTCACAGGTAAAAGTGAGACCCACAAGTAAAAATATCAAGTTGAGTTTCTACAGGTAAATGAGGTAAGATCCACTGGTAAATTAGGTGAGGTCAGCAGGTGAAGACAATTACACATACTATAAAACTGTATTTTTTTGTATACCCAAATTGCATACTATTTAGAACGCATGTGTGGGTATTCGGATGCAGCCACTCATACACGACCATCCACTTTGGGTAAACCCCACAGACATCCCAAATGCCAACAAAAATGCCCTTGGGAAATACATCTCAAAAGCTGTTGGTGGAAACTCCTCTAAACATGTTAAACTGTACAAACAGACTGAAACTCAAAACTTCTCTTTTTAAGGTAACATTATCTTATGAATTTGTCGAATGTGCAAGGGTATCATTTCTTCAGTTTCTGTTTTGATAACACTATCTCTTTTGAAAGAGGTAACTTTCTAGATTTTGTCATTTAACAATGTTATTTTTAAACCAAGGCAGTATTTGTTTCCATTACATTTCACATTTATACTCTACCACTTAGTTCTCAGATCATTCAAGGCTACTATTACATTCTTGCATTCATGCATTCATTAACAACTTGAATGCTTAAATGCCATATAGTTATGCTAAAAAGCTGACAACAGAGATGCTAATTCTGAGAATAATGTCAGCTCATCAACGGGAACCAGTTTATGGTTGTGTTTTTGAGATGTCCCTTCATTTTAGGTAAGTGTTCTTCTTCAGGTATTTGTGAAGCCCAAACACTTTCTTGGTCCTCTCCTCCTCCACGTCCTCCAGTATGATGAAGATGATGTTGGGGTTGCCCTCCAGCACCAGCCAGGACTGAGCCACCTCAAACTCAAAGTGACACCACACACTGTCAATGAAGTGGCGTGACACCACCACGATGACCTTGCGGCTACCCATGATGCCCTCGTCTATGATGTTGGAGGTGATGGACTTGCCCACTTCAAAGTCCCACTCGTGGAGGCACAGCTGAATGGGAGGGACTCCTTTCTCAAGGTTCTCCACCAGGCCTCGTCCTTGCTGGAGTAGATCACAAAGGCATCGTAAAGGCAATCCTGCTGGCGGGAGATCTTGTAGCCTCTCATCAAAACGCAGCAGTAACGCAGGTGGAACTGGAACTTGTAGGCCAAGACTGACAACGTAAGAATAAAAATGACAACAAAGATGGGAACTAAAAGTGTAACTCTCAAGATGTGAGTGTAGTATTCAACATCAAAGTCAAACACTTTAGTGGTCTGTGTTGATTTTTTTATGGTTCATCCAGGGGCGCAACTTTCACTGGGGACATTCTGAAATGGCAATTTTGTCCCCCCCAGTTTTATCATTGGAATGTGATACAAAACGAGGCAACGGTGTGCTTTAGGACCATGCTGACGCCTCCGAGCAGTCGGGTAGGCTGTTTGGAGTGTTTAACCTACCGGATAAAAAATTTAATATTAATCATGATTATGTCCCCCCCACTTCTAAAACCAAAGCTGCGCCCCTAGGTTCATCCATATAATAAAGTCAATTTGTGAGCAGGAGCAATCCACTGGATTATTGGATAAATCAAATGCTATCAGGTTTTTAGGTACATTATGGAGAATATTCATCTTAATTCTCGCAATCAGATTTTTGCCTATATCCATCCATGTTAGTGAAGCAAGGCTATGATTATATAGAAAATCCACAGACATCAATTTATTTCCACTGAGAATCAACTCTCGTAACGTATTCAGATTAACAAAAGAGTTCCAGAGGTGCTTCTCAATACCGCAAAATGAAATATCTAAAGTTTCCAGAAAAGTAAGCTTCACAAATCAATTATTTTAGATATTCCTGAGTAATTTGTCGCCAGATAGTTTGAGCACACTCAGATTCCTGTCCTTGAAAGAACAACTGGTTTGTGACAGTGATTCCTGTATTGGAGATATCCAGATACTTGAGATGACTCAGATTCACCATGTTAAAAAGGTCATCAGCTCCAGTGAGCTTGCTATTGTGGAAATCCAACCCTTCGAGGGATTCAAGTCCAGAAAATTGTGAGACATTCAAGCGGATCTCTGCATTGGAACTGATGTTGAGGTGGCGAAGTCGAAGTTTGCCGATGAAAAGCGATTTATAGCAGCCATTCGGAATGATCCCGTTGTTACTTAAATCCACATACTGGAGAAGAGGCATATCCATAAAGACACCAGAAAGAAGTGGTATTTCATTGTCAGTGATTGCTAGTTTCTCTCTAGTTTGCTGATGTGTGAGCTGAGAACCTGGAATCTTAAACAATCTACTGTGTCTGATATCAAGCTCTTTGATTTGTTTTGAATTTGACATTTTCCATGAATCCCACACGACAGCGGTTCAGGGTGATTTTGGTGGCGTTCTCCATGCACCTGAATACTGGTATCTACTTTTCAGATTGAAGATATATATATTTGTGGTGACAGTGTGGAGACGGGAACACAAACTAAAATAGCTTTTGTCCTTTTAGAAATATGAGGAAGGAAAATGAGGAACAACGTGAACATTTAGCTCGTCATCATCCATATATAAACAATACCTGTGAGATGCAGAGCCACTTCCCAAATAGATAGTGATAGTCTAGTATATAGTAGTAGCCTATTGACTAACATGTTATTATCAATTACTAAGTGTTGAATACTTTAGTAAACAACATGGTTTCCGCTCTCCTGTGGATTTTGTTTCTCCTGCGTGCTGTGGAAGGAGACATTTGCACAGAGGTAAAGTATAATAATAATAATCTGCCATTTAGCAGACACTTTTATCCAAAGCGATTTACAGTCCTGTGTGCATACATTTTTACGTATGGGTGGTCCCGGGGATCGAACCCACTACCCTGGCGTTACAAGCGCCATGCTCTATCAATTGAGCTACAGAGGACCACACTGTATTTGACAGGTTGTTGTTGAATGGTTGATCGTTAAAATGTAATTATAGTAACTTGACAAGGAGTGCCCACACGCATTTCAATATTACTTTCCTTTACTTTCAATCCAATAAATAAAAGGTGTACAGCCATGTACACATGGTACAAAAACAGCAGAACGATACAGCCCACTCAACCTGTGGTAGAATCACATTGTACAGATCTGACTCTTGGTGATGACATCATAAAAGGGGAAAGGTCACGGTCAATGCCAATAATAACCATGCACACATGAATAGCAATCATACTATACTGCAGGTAAGTTACAACACATATTCAATGTAATTATTTATATAGTGTCGACACTATAACAGTAATATTGGACAACATTGAAGATGATGGTGATGATGGAAAATAGTGAATTTGATAGCTGTATTCATATTTTTGTCCCTGGAATATGATTATTTTACAATATAAATAGTTCAAAATCCTAAGGGTTATTGATAGTGTTAAACCATTGCATTATACTGTATCTATGACTATGTGTCTTAACATGTCATTTTTATTAGGTGATTCAAAAAGGGCACTACTCATGCGAAGGGAGAAACCTCAGCTACATACAGTACCAGTCCTTCCTCCCTACACAGAAACTCTGGATTTCAGTTTTAACTACCTGACATCTTTACAGCACAGTATTTTCCCTCAATTATTGGATTTGTAAGTCCTTGATCTCACAAGGTATTTGGAATTATATTTTTGTCAACTATTGGACGATTAATATCGGTTTTATATGTTAGTACATATGTAGCACATACAGTGCATTCTGAAAGTATTCAGACCCCTTGACTTTTTCAAAATATTGTTATTTTACAGCCTTATTCTAAAATTGATTTTTTTTTTCTTTTTCCCCATCATCAATCTACACACAATACCTCATAATGTCAAAGCAAAACCAGGTTTTTAGACATTTTTTCAAATGTATTAAAAATAAAAAACTGAAATATTACATTTACATAAGTACTCAGTACTTTGTTGAAGTACCTTTGGCAGCGATTACAGCCTCAAGTCTTCTTGGGTATGACGCTACAACCTTGGCACACCTGTATTTGGGGAGTTTCTCCCATTTTTCTCTGTCAGGTTGGATGGGGAGCGTTGCTGCACAGCTATTTTCAGGTCTCTCCAGAGATGTTCGATTGGTTTCAAGTCCGGGCTCTGGCTGGGCCACTCAAGGACATTCATCTTTCCCTCAATCCTGACTAGTTTCCCAGTCCCTGCCGCTGAAAAACATCCCCAAAGCATAATGCTGCCACCACCATGCTTCACCGTAGGGATGGTGCCAGGTTTCCTCCAGACGTGACGCTTGGCATTCAGGCCAAATAATTCAATCTTGGTTTCATCAGACCGAGAATCTTGTTTCTCATGGTCTAAGAGTCTTTAGGTGCCTTTTGGCAAACTCCAAGTGGGATGTCATGTGCATTTTACTGAGGAGTGTCTTCCATCTGGCCACTCTACCATAAAGTCCTGAATGTTGGAGTGCTCCAGAGATGGAAGGTTCTCCCATCGCCACAGAGGAACTCTGGAGCTCTGTCAGAGTGAACATTGAGTTTTTGGGCACCTCCCTGACCAAGGCCCTTCTCCCCCGATTGCTCAGTTTGGCCATGCGGCCAGCTCTAGGAAGAGTCTTGGTGGTTCCAAACTTCTTCCATTTAAGCGTGATGGAGGTCACTGTGTCCTTGGGGACCTTCAATGCTGCAGACATTTTTTGGTACCCTTCCCCAGATCGAAACAATCCTGTCTCGGAGCTCTACGGACAATTCCTTCGACCTCATGGCTTGGTTTTTTCTCTGACATGCACTGTCAACTGTGTGACCTTATATAGACATGTGGGTGCCTTTCCAAATCATGTCCAATCAATTGAATTTACCACAGGTGGACTCCAATCAAGTTGTA